TGTCACCTGCTCATGATTTTTAATGAGGGGGGCGGGCCGACGTGGAGTGACGTCGCGTGCGGTACACACAGACATTTTTGGCTCATTATAGTAAATGGCTAGTCTCGTACGTACAGACTAGCTGAATTTGCCTGGGATTGTGTTGAATGGAGTCGTAATGAGAGATACAATGAGCAGTTAACAAGGACTCAATAACAATCATGATACATTTACAAACATCATGCCATACATGCAATATTGTCTTGATGAGTAAACTCTCCATTTATCGCCATGGAGGGATTCTGTGGTAGAGGTGGAACCGTGCATCGATTCACTGATAAATATGAATTGCTAAGCTCACAAGACATGCATTGAGTTACGTTTTAAGAATCAATGTTTTCCTATTCGTATACATTGTATGTAATAGGTTCATGTCATCACTGCAGCCACTAGACGCCTTGAGACATTAGTGGAAGGTCCCTTACAAATAAGAGTTGATTAGCACGAAACAATTGTCGGCGCATATTGACGTTCATAATGAAATGTTCATCATCGCATTTGATAATGAAATTTCTACTATTGCGATACTGAAGCGGTGTACCATTGTGATACTGAAGAAAGCAGTGTTTAAATTTCGATTTAAAGCTTTCGTGACTGCAGGGATTCATCTTCTTGGTTCTTTCGGTAAAGTCACGTAGAAGGGAAATAATAAAATAATAAAAATACAATTCTTCTCACGACGTTTCGGCCACAACGCAAGCAGCCGTCCTCAGGTGAAGAACAGGTCTGTCGTAAAGACAGCGTCTGCAGTGTTTCATTGTGATTCTGAAGAGGAGAGTTTTCAATCAATTCATATTGCCATCTAAGGGATGGATCAGAAACACGGACGCTGCCAAAGAGGATGTAACACATGTTGGAGGGCGTGCAAAGAGGCATGGAGAGACACATGCTCTGAATTACACTGAGAAAGAACCAGTCGCACGAACGGCTTGAAAGAGCGCGGTGGAGACGGCGTGGCGAGGCCTTTTTTATTGAGTAGTGGGAAGACGACGGCTGATGATTGCGATGATTAACATTAACCTTGGCAAATAGATATTGCGTAGCATTTGAATGACGCCGAGATAGAGGCAATTACTTGATGGCCAAAGGCAAGGGAAACGATTTATTTTAAAGGCGAATTGGCACTTGAGTTCATTTATATTGATACTGCTGCCCTTGTGAAGACGTGGCTTTCACGGGGGTTTTGGAGTTACATATAAATTGGGCAGCAGGAATAAATGACAGTCATCTCTTTGAGAATTGACGGCCCACGGCATTTGTCTTGAGCGCTGGTTACCGATCGTGACTCTTCAGTGTCGGCGTTGCTTTTAAAAAGTCCGAAGTGATTTCCTGCTCAAGCGTTCGAGGCGGTGCTTCTCCATTTTGCAGCTCTGAGCCGCCAGTGTAAATTCCTCATTCCCATGGCGGGGCAAGTCTATCCGTAGGAAAACTAGTGTTAAATTCCCCACGAAGTGGCACATATTTTATTGACACGGGTGGGATGATGGGCTGAATCAGCCCCCAACCATGATTGAAACTGACAACCTTCTACAACGACTTACTACTTTTATTTCACCAGGTAAGGCCCACTGAGCTATTTAACTCTTTTTCTGAAGCGACCTGGTCACAAATGATAGCTCGACGAAGTGGCTTATCACGTGCAAATTTATAGCAGCAAAATACTTTTAAACGCATGTTTCTAAATGTGGATGGAAAAACTGTAAGACCCAGAGAAAAATCCACGTGACCACGGGGAGGGAGAGAGAACGCATAAACTCAAAGTATACAGGCATCAAGGTCAGAAGAACCCATGACCTCCTGCATACCAGGCGAGATGGTTAACATTCTGCCACCGTGACACTATTGCGAGCCACTCGCTCTACTACCACCGAGGCACTTGGCCCGATCGGCTTCTCTCACGCAAACCGGATCTGGGTCGATGGCGGCTCAGCAGCGTGTCATTGGCGACCGCGCACGCCGTCGCCCCGTCTGCGCGTGGCACTTCGCCGGCGGAGCCCGATCGACCGCCTCGGTGATGCGACGCGAGGACTCGACGTGCGCGCAGCTTTCTACCGCCAGCCGCTTCGATCCAAGGGCCTTGGCTCGAGTGCGTCCTGACTGTTGAACGCCGATGGGAGCTGGCACTGAACGCAACGGCGGGGTCAATCGATTAATGCTTTTGAGATTTTATTTTTTTCTTGGGGTGTGAGAAAATGTGAGTAACCAATTCTCTGGCTGCTCGCAGCGGTTCGAGATGTACGGTTCCCATTGTACGGCGTTTCACACGGAGGGCAAACGACAGCCAACGAGGGCTACAGGACGAATAGCTTTCACAACGGGACCCGTGAATTGCGTTATTGCCTACTATCTTTGTGAAACACACGCTCCTAGTGCAATGTCGTCTCCAATTCCTTTACCAGTCTACTCGCTCAAATCTTTCAAAAAAATGTATATGTATTAATACTAGACTGGAAATGTTTACTCCTGTTTATACAGTGGCTTGAGATGATGTCACAATTTCTAGCCTTTATAATGCAACTTTAAATACGTCATACATATAATAATTATTTAGATTAGTACATAGTCTTAATATGAGGAGCTTCTCTATGCTCTGTACAAGAACAGCTATTTGCGTAACATAATGCGGTGGGAACATCAAATAAACACAAGGATACTAGCCACAGTAACCACGTTCACAACAGTAAAATACGGTGTCAAATTAGAATCGGTTAAAATATTTAAACCAAAACACACTCTCTGACTGGATGTATGAGACCTCATAATACGTGTAGACATTGCTTTAAACACTCAATAACAATTACTTATTACTTGGCAAAGCAGAAAAAAATTGCAGCCTCAGACTTGTTTTGGCAAACTAGTTTCAGCCAAATGATAGCAGGTTGAAAACAACCAAGTAATTTGACACTACAAATTCACATTCTTTTTTTATATATACTCTGTAAATAGCAATTCAGCACAAGTTATATGTTTGTGAGTGTGTGTGTATATATATAGAGTGGGGAGCGGTGGTGTAGCGGTTAGCGCGCTGCACTACGAACTTGGCGACCCGGGTTCGATTCCCGCTCACGGCAAACACCAGTGACGATTATCTGAACCGGTCCTGGGCCTCCCCTAGGTCGACTCAGCCTCAAATGAGTACCTGGTGCGGTGTGTAAACATCGCCGCTAGGGAGACAAAGGCGGTCGGGCGTGGTGCTGGCCACCCACCCCCTCGTGTACCGTTCTGGCCTTCATAGGTGCTCGCTAACAGCACTTGCCCCTACAGTCTGTTAAGGCTATACGGGGGATCTTTGTCTTTGTATATATAGAAAATCCTGCTCACTCTCTGAATTTAATAACCGTCCAATAGCGCGCTAGTGTCTGCGTGTAGCTTTGTGGGTGCAATGTTGCCACTGGCAAGGGTTGCCATCGTATCATCGGGAAAAGAATATCTCTGTACCAGAGAAGGAAAGAACGACTTGTTAATGGCTTGTATTGCGTGCAGTATTATTATGCAACTGGAAACAAAAACAACAACGTTGACTTTTTGTGACCCGAGGAAGACTCAGATTTCCCAGGGCAGCTACCCTGAACAGGACGACGATCCTGGGAAAAAGTGGGACAGGTGGCCCAACCGGCTTGCCTGCGTGAGGCCGTGGACAAAGTATCGTGTTGTGTGATGCATAGGCTAACCTGAGAACTTACGCAGTCGGATTATGATTGAGCACCCCCTTTACACGTGGCCGTTATTACCATCGGCCAGCCGGCATGCGCACACACCCGAGACCACAATGGGCCAAAGGGCGTGCGGATCAATCGCTGAGCGCGGCAATTGCCGCCGGTTACTTAACGCTCAATCGCAACGCTTTTGACAGCCGTCGCCTCGAGCCCACACCCGCATCTCAGAAAGCCAGAGGCCTTTCAAACCTCCCAAACTTCTCGTAGGTTTCCGAAACTTTTTAGAGTCCTCTAAGATGACAAGGGCATGGCCACCGCAGTAATTCAGGTGATTTTACACGGATTTTGGAGGTTGCTGCCATTGACCTGCGTTCCTGGGATGTGTGCTCAATTACTAGCGTAGCCCTTTTCCGACTGTAACACTTGATGCAGGCGTGGTCGGTTGGCGGGCAGCGGGTGGTTCATAAGTATTTCTGCGGACCCACCGTGCCAGGGATGTCGGTGGTGGGGGTTGTTTTACAATTCGGAGTTGAGATTGGATTCCGTTTTCATTTCTTCGTCTAGTTTTTACTCGACCCTGTAATGATACCCCCCTTCCTTCCCCTCCACTTCCCACAATTCAATGAATTGTGATGATTAGAGGTCATAATTCAGGGTGAATATAGGGGCCTGTAACATTAACCGGAGTGGCCTAAACATTCAAGCTACATGAATAAAAAATAATAGAATCTTACATACATGGTTCATTTCAGCACGTTGGAATAAATGTCCATCAATTTTGATGAATCGGTTGGATCGTTGTACCCCTATGTTGTACTCTCTCGTTTGTATTGTTTCTCATTTGTTCAGTCTAATTTGTACAGGTTTCATTCCATTAATGCCAGTGTAAATATTTGCTTAAATAAGTAAATTATCAATGTTCATGCATAAATCAATGTATATATTGTGAGTGGAGGTATAGGTCAATCAATGTTATATTCTTAAGCCTTCTGATATGTGCATCAAATCGCTGATGAAAGAACACATCTTCATGGTTTGTATACATTGTGTTTAACAGGTTCATATGATCCCTGCAGCCACAAGTGGCAGCTATATATAAAAAAAAAAACGAGTTTTTAAAATGAATTTTAACGCCGACCCTTGACAAATCACGGAATCTCCAGGATGGGCGAGTCGAGATACACCTCCGGTCGTGGCCGTACGAACCTGTACTCATTCGACGAATCGACGCGTCGCGTGGCATGGCCAGTGGTCACGGTGCAGCGATGTGAACACGCGTGTCCGCATGCGCGTGTCCGCGTGCAGGAGCGCAAGCTGTGCGCGCACCCCTGGGTGGAGATCTACTGGGACGATGTCATCCACTACTTCTGCCCGCTGGCCAAGCAGGTGCAGTTCTACGTGCCCGAGATGGAGGAGGCAGCGCGGCAGCAGCGCGAGGAGGCGCCGCGCGCATCCGACGAGGCCACGGGTACGCGGCGGCGGTGCGAGTGTAAAAGGCGGCGCGTGCGCTCCGTTTGTGTGGCCTGATTTTTTTTTTTATCTATCTTCGGCCCACAAATTATTCCATGAGACGAAGAATCGTATCAGACCTCCCGCGGTGTAGTGCAGCTACCTCTTGAGATGACGAGAAGCGACCTCTGGTCCACACAGTAGGGGGGCAGCACTTTTGCCACCCACTCTGCCAATGAGAGTCATGTGCATCGCACTACAGACAAACCAATAAAGGATTTGATTGTAAATTTTGTCAAGAATGTACACAAATATCGGCAGTGGCATTGAAAATCGGTGTACTTAGTTGAATATAGATTGGCTTGGGGTTTTATGATTATCACGTCCTTGGATGGATAGTCGAACAGACGGATGGACTGAAGTAATATTCCCCGACGGTAGCGATAAATAACCAACCGGCGTCCTTGACAATGGGTGCAGCCTTGGCATACGGTGGTCACTTGGCTGACCCCAAATGAACGATGGTTATGGGGCCGAGTTGACCCTGGCGGGGACTTCAACTCGTGAACTCGCGGTTAGCAGCCCTGCCGAGCACCGCGGAGCGGCAAGGCGAAGCGGACAGTGATTCATGCCGTGGCAGCGCTGCTCATTTTCCCCGGCTATTGTTGGTCAAGAACGTGGCTCGGTTACTCTCGCTTCCCTGAGACATCAGGCTTTGCTTTTCAGTGCACTTGGCAAAATAACAAGTGATTTACAACAGCTCCGAGGTCAAAAAAGACGAACTTAGAAAACATTATTTTTTTAACAGCCGAGTCTAGCCTTTCTCAGTGGCCTGAGAAATAGTTTTCATGCTGCGTTTGTCGTGTTTTGCGGCTGGCTCCGTGTTGTAATGCTTAGAACACCGGAGCTGCAATGCATCGGATGGACTCTTCGCGTAATGGCTTTCCGCGCCGCGTGCGGAGTATTTTACAAATGCGTTTCGCTGTCTGCCGCCGCGCCGTCGGGTCGGGACCGTAACTCGCGCGGCCCCCTCGTGGTTAATTTTGCGGAAAATTAAAGGGGGTGGTGGGGGGGAGGAAATGGGGGGGGGGTGTTGGCACCGTACAACCTGTGACAATGTTTCATCTCCGGACTTTTGCGCTCCCGGTGGCATCGATTCGCAGTGCGAGTGGCGAGTTCCACATCGGTGCTTCCCAGCGCCACGGGGGGAGGGGGTCTCCAGCCGGAGAATAAGCGCCAGACGCCCAGACGGGATGACTACGGCGCGGGAGTATAGCTGCTGCGTTCACGCTTGTGTCGTGATTTTTGTCGAGCACCGAGAGCTCCCTGTGAGTTTTCTGGGCCCAAGAGCCTTTCGTTGAATACACGTTGAGATGTTACGTTGTCTTGGACGGGTAGCATGCACGGTGCCGCAGCTCTTGGCACACTGCGCCGCAAACTGGAGTTTAATTGCCAGCCACGGCTAACATCAGTTGGCGAAAGTGATATCTGCACCGGTGATGTCCTTTCTCCGTCACCAACCTCACACTGACCAGTGTGGTCAAGTGTGGTTGAACCAACCCCCACTACTGGCATCGCATGCGGTAACTGTTATCTAAATAAATTGCACTTATTCAAATAAGAGGAGCGGGGTCACCGCAGTTAACGCGCTGTGTTATACGTGGCCTGGGTTCGATTCCCAGGCCATCGTTGGTGAGTGGTATCTGAACTGGTGCTGCCCCAAACACTTCCCCCACAACCCACCTTGACCATCGTGGTGAAGTATGGCCAAACGACCTCCGTGACAACGCAGCGTGGGGGGGGGGGGGGTCTTCATCCAGAAGTGGATTGACAAAGGGCTTTAAATAATTCAAACGTAGAAGTGAGTTCTAAGTTCAGGAATTGTCCGGCGGCGTTTTTATTCTGTGAGCGTTACGTTAAAAAAAAAAGAGAATGGCTAAGAGTGATCAATTGAAATTCAGCCTGCGAATCTTCTCCGTCAGTGGCAAAGGGGACGTGAAAGATTGCCGTCTTGATTCATGTAATGGTCTGGGCTCCAGCCAGATCATTAATCACAGCGTTGACAAAAGGCCCCACTTAATGTTCATAAATACATCAGCACACGGTTCATACGCCTACTTATTGGAATACGCCAGTGAAAAATAGCATTTAATTCCTGAGTGACACCGGTAGCCTTCTAATGGCAATTAGCTTAGGTGGTAGCTTGACTGCAGAGGTTTTTTTCCCAAGTAGTTTACAATTGCGTTATAAGCTTCCTGCCTCTTAAATTGTATTGTTTATTTACGAGTCAATTACTTTGTGCCCAACACCTTCACACTACCGGCTGCAGATTATTACATCCTCAACAAAATAAATATTGCCTCGCATATGTCACACTGTACTTCCACAGATGTTGCACGGACTTATAGCAAAGGCTCATATTTTTCTTTGAGCTTTAAGTATTACGATATATTTCATGCTCTCAGGGCCATCTGTAGAGGGTGTGCAGGGCTCGGGGTACATCACGCCGTGTAGGCCCCCCCTCCCGACGCCTTCACACCCCCCCCCCCCGAAGTGAGGGGCCCGGGGCAGTTGCCCTGATTGGCCATGTACCCTGGGGAACGGCTCAGGTCACGCGAATGCCAAATCTTCAAAAAGTGGCTTCCCACTCACACAAGTGTGCGTTTGAAACTGCTTGTTTTATAGCTTTTAGCAAGTGGTGGAAATTCCATATTCTTATGGCAGGGGGAAAATATATCAAACAAGCAATCACTGTGGACTTTCAACCGAGTGGTTTTCTTTATTGACAGCCAAAAGGATGAAGCGCTAAGTTGATCCTTTGCCACGATTTGAACTTAAACCCCATCCGATTATGAGCAGCACACTAACCATTGCACCACTAAATGACAGAGTAATGCATTCATGTAATTGTGTGATCCACTGCGTACCATCATAACTCACCAGAAGGATTCATCATCATCATGATTTATTAATTATTCTGTGCCTCCCATGCAGTGCGTAAAATTAAAACCCTCATTGGCCTTTAGGAGCCACTGTCTGATTGTTTAATGTCATATATTTATCTTGTAACATTGCGACCTCGGCACGACAAACTCAAACCAAAGAAAGTGAAGAAAGTTAATTTGTGATTTTTCAATGATTGGTGATGCCCGGCTTTGTGACAATGCGAGATAGCTATTTTAAGATTAAGAAAATCTAGTTGCCTGAAATTATCTCTGCAACTTTAGGAGCCCTATTTCGACAAACTCAATTTTGTGGATCAAAATTAAGTTTGCCATGGACATATTTAAAACCAGAAATTGCCTCTTCGACCGAATTGGGGCCACATTACACGTAACACGATCACAGCACGCATCACGCTGTCCATTTTATAATTTAATACACACGTTCTATTTTAAAGGCACTCACGGGGAAGGTCTTCACTGGTTGACTCGCACGCCCCCTCTCTCTCCATTCTACATTGCACAGCTGTCCGAACTTTCCCGCTCAAGGGGGTTTGCATGCAGAAGGGTGCTGGTGCAGGCCATACTTGATCCTACTGGGCCAAACGGCCGCTCCCTAAACGCTTCCAGTAAATGCATCGCGGCGCTCGCTAGTTACTTCGGAGCCTCACTCTGCTACTCTGCTCACGACTACGGAAACACCGATATCTATTTCGGGAAGGGGACCTTGTTAAACAGTCTGAGCCCTATGCGTAGCATGGGCGTGAGAGACAAAATGTGCTTCTGCTGCGACTGCGTACGGTTTCTCTGCCGCGCCGTACAGTTCTCCGATGTCCTCTCTCGGGTGCTTACCGCGTGTTGTCCGGGTACGATGTCCAAAGTTTTGCTTCGTGTGCCCGGGGCTACCTTCAGAAAGCGTCGGACATCACGCCGAAAACAGAATGTGGTACAACTAGAACACGCATTGAAGAGTAATGAGCTTAACAAATGTTTTACTTTTTACGGTCAAAAAATCCGAGTTCTTGGTGCTGAATTATTATAATTTTGACCAACTGCAGGACGATTTGCACCTCGGGCGATTCATTTATGGACATTGCGCACATTTGATTAATTATCAATTTAAATAGCGAGCAAAGGAATTGTATGTATCGCAGGCCATATACTGGTTTGGCCAGAATATTGAAGACGCCCCATTCCATCCATCATTGCATGTTCTGTGATGGTAGGAACACATCCGTGATGGATTTGGAGGGGGAAAATGAGAAATTAAATTTTGACATATTGGTGACAGTCACTCAACAATAGCTCAGCATAATGGGAAGCCTATGAACATGGCTAAAGGGTCCAGTAGCAGTCACATTGTTTTACCCTCATATTTTACTCGGAAGCATTGTTGTCAGTTCATAAGAGTCTGTAGCCAGCGGCATGTCCACATGTTAAACGGCGAGCACCAAAAATCGTGTCGGGGAAAAGCAGACGTGACCCACGGAAATAACTCGAGCCTTCTGACTTTCTCCACAATTCCAAATAATGACCACTGCTCAAGTCACACATCTAGAAATGAACCAGATAATAACCCAATGAATGTGCCACTTGTGACAGTAAAACCGACAGATGTTATCATTTCCTGAGCCTATGACCAAATCAGCTGCAATGTTCCCGACCTCATTAGGGTCCTGGAAAGCCCTTGGATGGGCGATCAGCAGTCACAGCGGGTGTCATGGGCTGCTGTGATGCTGTGCCGTGGATAGCACAGGGCAGTACAGCAACATCCATCATGACACTGCATCGTTTTAATTCTGACGTCTGTGCCTCCCGCTCTCAGCAGCCTGCACTGACCAATGTGGTAGAGTATAGGGTAATAACTCCCATGACCCCCCACTCAGCAGTGTATTGACAAAGGGTCTGTACATGTACATATCTCCATGGTTTTTGCTCTTACAATGAAATAACAGTTGATGTTGACCCTACGGGGGCCTGCATCGGATGATTATTGTGAAACAGCGGTGATTGGAATAGGACAAATATTAGACGTACGCTGGATACATTTCCTTTAGATTTAATCTGAAGCTTATAA